CATAACACTCCCAGCTCCAAGAACAAATTTTCGTCTTTATTACTGTCATATACAGGTCAATGGCACTCTGGATTTCTCTGCCCACCGATATCACATCTACTGTTAATAATAAAAGAACTTTCAGAAAGCCCAGAAAGAAATATCTTGCAATACAAAAGCATAAGAACACACCCCTGGTCTGTTTGTTTTTTTTTTTCTTCTTTCTTCTTTATTTTGATGTTAATTGCATCATTATCTTTAATCACTTTGTTCTCGTCTTCACTTATTAGTTGATTTGCATAGTACTTTTATATTTTCAGTTTGTTTGTATTTTCCTATTTTTATGTTTGTACTGTATTTTTGATGTTTAGGACCCCAGGAAACTAGAGGCACATACATGTGCTTTTAATGGGGATTCTTAAATAAACAATGAATAAACTGAAATAGTTAATGTTGGATTGAAGACTTTGACATTGTGCACATGGTCGGATTTGAAACATATGATATTTTTTTAACATTGTGTTAAATATCCACAACACACAAATATCCAAATCCTAAAAATGTATAAAAAAATATCCAGTAAGGCAAAGAAACGTGATAAATGAAACACATGGGGTAGGATGGGGAAAAAAACCCCATCTAAAATACATGAAACACATGCAAACGCTCAGCAGCAGTGTTGTTAATGAACAGGGCACAAGACAGATGGTTGGAAAGAGGATTTGCCAAGGAGAGTAACAGCAATATACCCATGTAAAGCATAATCTCCCCAGTCACACCAACCAAAACTGCCACTGAAATAAAGTAATATTACAAAAAAAAGGAAAAGGGGAAGACTTTAAAAGGGCTTGATCTGGTTAAAGATCCAGGCCTATTATGTACATGTAACCTGGTTGTGAAACCTATATTGTTTCTCTATGGATGAGTCACCTTCATTCACTGTTTCCAGAGTGATCCTTGACTGATAATACAGCACTATTTACCACCTACGCCTCACAATGTGCTGAATGAAAACCAGAAAAAGAAAAGAGAGGAGAGAGAGAGAGAGAGAGAGAGAGAGAGAGAGAGAGCACTTTTCACTCAAATGCTAATGCGAACATCTCTCTCTCTTCTCCATGTTGTTCTGCGAGTGGATCAAAGCATCTGCCGCACAGATGACGCCATTCACGCACTGAGGCAGGCACAAGGGTCACTCACAACCCACAGTGCAAAGGGGCAGAGGGTGTGTGTGTGTGTGTGTGTATGTGTTTGTATGTGTGTGTGTGTGTGTGTGTGTGTGTGTGTGTGTGTGTGTGTGTGTGTGTGTGTGTGTGTGTGTGTGTGTGTGTGCGTCCAAGCCTCAAGCCAGATTCAGGGAGTCATGACACCACACTGATTCAGAAGCTGAAGGGCAGAGGATGGAGGAGGAGTGGAGATGGAGTGATGGATGGATGGATAGGCGTTGGTGAGTCACCATCATTCACGTCCACAGGCCGATTAATCAATTATTGGATTTATGGTTACAGCATACGCCTGGTGATATTCATTCTATAGTTTTCTTAGTATCAACAAATCCAATGAAAAGACCACAACAAAGAATTAACTGATGAATTGTAGCCTGAGCTACTTTGCTGTAGACTATCCATTGTCGTCCTAAAGACACGTCAATGAGCTTCTTTTTTTTTTTTTTCTGTCTCGGCCTTGACTCTGTGACTTGAACTAAAGCACTGCTTGGAGGCATGAGAGGGTGCACTGTAAAAAATGCCAGCTTATATTCATTGGCATAAAAAAGGATTAGAAGTTGTCAGAAAGAATATAAATGTTTAATAATAATTCAATAAAAGTGAGTGAAGTAAAGTAACTTTTCATCTTTAGCTGTGATTTATTACAAAGTAATAAAGGAAACTTGTCATCTTTAGTTGCAGAACCATTTCAGGTAGCTGGTAGCATCTCAGGCAAGTTGACTGTTTGGTCTGTAGTTAAACTTACATGGAATCGAGAAAATTGTGAAAAACTGACAGGATTAAAGGAAAATAAGTGCTTTGCTGTTTAAAAGAAGAGCTATTTGTGTATGAACTAGTCCTGTATCATCATTTGGAATTCAAAGAGGCCCATCCCCAAAGGGCTCTCTATTCACTCAAAGCCAGTCGGTAGATAATGGGCACAAAAACAGGCAGACCCAAAAAATTCACAATCGGCACTTGAAGACAGCAATGGAGGTGTGTGCGTGTGCGTGAGAGAGAGAAAGATGAAAGAGAGGAAGAGAGAGACAGAGACAGCAGGAAGATAGACAGAGCTGAGGAGATGCATGGTTGAATAACAAGAAGGTAGCTCAGGAGTGATACAGAAAATGAACAATGGGTCTTGGAAAGAGAGAGAGTAATGAGTCTTTAAAAAGAAAGGAAGATGAAGAGAAGCCAATGCAAAGTAATTGCTCTGATAAAAGTTGATAAAACACAAGTCACAAAACAAAAGTGTCCTCTTAATTGCCTAAGGGTGCGAGAGCTTCACTGAACTGCATTTACTTTCTATCTTTTTAAAACACCTTAAAACAACTGCTGACATTATTTCATGAGGATAGCCCGAAAATCACAGCGAGGAGGCGCCGAACAAACAGTGTCGTCATTACAGTTAATCAAATGAACAAAAGACAGTGGAGTCATTAAAAACAGAGAGATTTTGATGTTCTTGCTCGTGTATACATGGGAGGATATAGGTGTGGGGGCTTTACAAGCTGAAGAGTGAGAACGCCAGCGTCTAATTGGCTTTTTGTGTTTGCAGTCGTACAGTAGAGATGAAAAAAGTATGACGGCACAGCAGAAGTCAGACCAAGTCATTGTACTTAAATCCCAAGTCAAAATTTACATATCTCAAGTCAAGTGACAAGAATTTCGAGTCCTAAACAAGTCACCAAATATAATTGCAATTTAACAACAGAGTCATCAGTCCTTCCAGGATTTTGCTAGCTTTTTTTGGGATTGTTGTGTCCTAAAATACCTGAATTCACAAAAGCTTTAAAAAAAAAAAAAAATGTAGACATTTTTATGCTTTTTTTTAAAATAAAACTGCAGGAGCAAGTGGAAATTGCAAAAATAGTTAAGATTTTTGGAGTTCTTTTGTATAATTAATTTAAAAACAAAGGCAACTTGTTCCAGTGAGAATAGAATTGGACTGTTTGGAGTGTTTCAAGTCATTATTATGATTATGAGGGTACAGGTCTGCATAGTCTGCAACTTCACAACTAGAAACAAATAAATGAGTTTGGTGACGTATGCCTCTACATTTTGCACAGGGAACTACATGATTCTCAAATTTGTGAAAAAACATTAAGGCACGGCTTTGATGCGCGTCGCCATCTGGAATCAAACCTGCAACAGTAGCAACAGTGCAGCCAAGTCATGCGCTGTAGCCATTTCACTACCGAGGAGCTGCCTAGCATATAGCACTATAAACTGGCAAACAGAATGAATTTTGTATGTTTCTGTCCTGTCTTGTTGTATTTAGTTGATTCAGAAAAGTAAGGTATTGATTTGTGGCACACTTTTTAAATAACATAAATGTATGAAAGTTGAGTTTATTTTATTTTGTCAAGTTGAGTCTGAAGCCATACAATTTGTGAGTCCACACCTCTGTAGGATGGTATGGGGGCTTAACCTCTGCATGCGTGTTATTGGCTGGACTGCCTCAATAGAGCTTGTTGCATGTAAGTACACAGACATCAGTGCGTGCTGCAGCTGCGCTTGACCTCCATCTCTTATCTAACCAAGGACAGATACCCGTTCCTATGGCCGGAGGGAAGAGGAGACTGAGGTTCAACTGCTACAGCAGGGTCACACTTCAAATAGAGATCCCGAGGGGCCACAGAGGTCACACTACAACACTGATAAAACACCACCACCCTGGTGGAGCGCCATCCGACTGCATCAGATGGGCTTGGGGGGGAAAGAGAGGAGGCTAATGAGAGACAATGTTATCACGCCTGATGTGTGGAAGCAAACAGTGAAGTGCTCCACGTGAAATATACTGCAGATTCAGAGTGTTGACTTTTTACAGGCGGGCACAAAAAATCAATACGATGATGTATTGCAATAGTCCCTCTCGTAATATATTATTGATGCACAGGCCTTGTTTGAATTGTTTAAGGGTCAGCCTGAATGCAAATGAGAGAGGAACCATCATCTTTTCAGTGTAATGTCAGTGCCAACATAAAATTTAACAAGACTGGTGGGACAACCAAACTAAAACTGATGTGTATAAGATCTGTTTCATTGAAATAAAGCACATATGTGACAAAACCGACAAGCATGTCCACCTGTATGGAGGTTAATAATGGCCATTAAGATTTGAAATGTTATCATTTACTGAATAATAATGTTCTAACGGCACTGCACTCTTTACACTTTTAGATCTAGTGGACTCTGTATGGTTATTGTTGATCTTTCAGTGGTAATACCTCGTTTCTCTCTAGCATGAGGGACAATGTAACTAACCTGACAGCTGATCTTTTGAATCCAATTTCCTTGTTACTGTGCTAATTCATTTTTTACAACACCTTTGGTCTAATTTTTATTTATGGGATCTCATAGTTTTCTGATTTGTTCACAGCTTCACCACTACTTCCAGCAAAGACTTCTACTCAGTAAAGGCCAACTACTGTCTTCAACCTTTATTGGAAGTGCGTTTAGCTCGCTGCAGATATATGTACCTACACATACAGTGAGGGCAGAGGAGTTTTAGTTTCCTGTTGAACTTTATTTGCACATGTTGAGGAGACTTGACTTCTCGTGACTCAGAGGTGTATCCATCTTTTAAACTGCTTTTCTGCTTTTGGCTCAGATTTTTGGATTTTCTGTTTCTTTGACATATGAATGGTGTTCACATTGATGTGTGTGAAAGAAAAACTCTGCACTTCTATCACTTTGTTTCTTATCAGTTGTCAAAATATAAGTGAAACTGAAACTAAAATGATTACTGTGTGACTTTGTGTGCAAACAGATGAACTCAGGTTTTAAGAAGTGATGTATAAAGTATTAACAACTTACGTCTGTGTCGGGACCCTTGTCGGCTCCGGGGCAGGAGAAGGTGACAAACTCATGGCACCGTTTGTGAACCACAAAACAGCACACTGACAGAAGAGAGAGAGAAAGAGAGTTTTACAGTAACAATTTATGACACAACATTGTGACCTTGTTCTTATATGCACATAAAGTGCATTCAACCACCAAATATTTCTCTTGAGGGAAAAAATATACACACAACACACACAGTATAATATCCTTATTCTGTCTGGTGTTCGATGCAAATTATCTGACGAATGACTGAGAGAAACATAAAGAGAAAGACAGTAAGCGAGAGAATGTGCATGTAAATTACCATCAATCAACTTCAAAAAGATTTTGACAAGCCTCTCTTGCATGGACACGCAAACTAATGCAGACAGACAAACAGACTTGCATGCATGTGCGCTCCCACACTCACACCCACACAAAAAATGTCACTACGTGATCTTGTGTGTTCTGCAGCCGTCGGCTCTTTACAGTCTGTTGGGTTGATGCCGATTGCATCACCCTCTCCCACTGAACTGGGATCCGCCCCTACCAAAAGTGTCACTCAGTGTGACATGGCTGACATGACACCTGACGCTGCTCTCACGTCAGCGATTGGCATTTATATTTGGATGCTGCCACAGATCTGGAGGGAAAAGCAAAAGCGTGGACATCTGTGACAAGCTGACTCCCTCTCTGACTCGCACTCTGCGTACCCAACTATTTTTCGCTGCCATTATTTGAAATTCCTCATTCTTTCTTCTTGTTCATTCTCACACAATCTGTCTGCTTCACTCATTGTCAAGCTGCGTGTTTGTTCATGTGCACTTTTGTGCTCTCCCACTGCCATATTTGTGTGGCTTTTTGTCTCTTTCTCTGCCAGCTAAATCACACTTGCCAGACAATCTGACGGCCATTGGTTAAACAACAGAAATTAGTTTCCTGAGAAGTCCAAGAAACAGCAGGGGTTTCGACTGTCCATGCAAAAGGCTGTACTGTAACAATAGTCAGTTGATTAGAAACATTTCAGATATGAATGCTGGTATCTTCACCAATATTTTTCAGCATAATGATTGTTTCCATCATCATAATCCTAATCCAACCCGAATACTCACTACAGTCTCTGTGTATGTATGTCAGAGATGGATATTCCCTTTCCACAGTGTATTGCTGAGCCAGTAGCAGCATAAAGTATGAATTCATCTCTTTCAGTAATAAAGAGGAAACGAGGCAGAGCAGGAGGGGAGGGGGATAAAAAGCTCAGCAAAATAGTGCCCAAAGTGATTTATCTGTGCTCTGAAGTTGTCATCTGTGCCATTTGTCATTTTCATAATGTACATGTGTATGCGTATGTGCTATACACAGGTGCACATGCATACGACAGGAAGTTTGAGGTTGAGTTTTGAGAGGACCCAGTCAGTGGAGTATTTTCAGCTATGCAAGTGTCATGGCTCTATGGATGGCAACATTCGATCAGTTCGTCCACCACTTAGATCCAGACTGAAATATAAATATTCATGATCCCAAGAGTCTTGATGAGGATGACTTTGATTATTCCCTGACCTTTCCTCTAGCACACTGGTCCTCAAACTATGGTACGTGTACCCTCTGGTGGTACGTGGAGAAAACTAAACAAAAAAGATATAACGCTATCAAATACTACAACATTTCTAATTGAAATACTTCAGCTATACAATAGGTGAAGTGTAATTAAGTGTTATTTTGTATTTCCTCTATATATTTTGTTTTAATATCAGCTTGCTACGTAATCAGGATTCAGGATCAACAGTGAACAAAAAATAATCTTCGTATTAGGAATAAACCTGCCTTCTGTGGGAACCGTCAGTAGTTGAATAGGGTCGGTCTACGCTACTGTATTTTCGGTCATAATAGCGGTATTAGAGCCTCATATTTTCTGAGGTAGCACAGTGTCACACAAGGTTCACATTTATATTCATTAGTGAAATATCTCGCCAACCGTTTCATGCCCCCTGAGAGTGAACTGTGATCAATTTGAGGATCTCCTTTTTTTAATTTAGTGCCATCACCAGGTAAAAACTTCAATTTGTTCATGCACATTCCCCTCAGCCTCAGCTGTACTTTGAGTTAACGTTACACCTGCTAAACATCTGCATGTTAACATTGTCATTTTGAGCATGATAGCATGCTGATCTAAGCATTTAGCTCAGAGCACATTCAACTTGGTAACATAGTTGATGAGCTTATGAACATAGTTCTGAATCGAGACTTCTAGTATTTTTCTAGTATTATTTACAGCTACAGCTGTATTTCCATGTGTCAGACATATAATTAAATATGAATATGTTGAAACTCAAAACTGTTTCTGTTTCAACGGCTAAAAAAATGTGATTTCAATTTCAATTTCAAATGTTGAAAGCCATACAGTGGATTCAATTAGGGATTTCAAAGGATTCGGATGCTATCCAACCCCAACCCCCGGCCGGCTCCATTATATGACTTTATAAGGCCTCTTAGGACTCTGAACTTATACAAGGTAATATAATAATCTATCTGTCCACTCCCAAAAGCAGCCTTCTTAATGATCTTTATGAATTCAAAAAAGTGAGGACAAAAGCAGGGAACAAAACCAGTGTTGAAACCAGTCTTTATTTGCTGAAAGAATCTGTTTTTCTATCTGTCACTGCTGAGTGCATTAGCAATTGTTTTGGTATTGACCTCAGGGCATTTATTCCCACTTCATATCCACCTCCGACTCTCCCTGCAGTCAAACTTTCCATCCTCCCAGCCTACTATCAGCCCACTCTGCTGTCAATGGAATTAAGAAAGCATTTGCTTACATGCAAAGTAGGAGTACAAAACACATAAAATTTCCTGCGTGTATTTTCATCTCCTGTAACACACACTGTTACTCAGCAGGATTAATTCTGAGTGTAACCATCAGGTTTATCTTTTCCTCCCCACAACCTACGTAATGACGTCCTTTCTCTCCCTCCATCCATCAGCTCTCCTCACACCTCCAGCCACACACCCACTCGTCCATCGTCGCCTCTGTTTAGGGCTGATCTCAGACCAACTTTAGTGTCTGCTGGTGCTGCAGTGTGGAGCTGAGCAGACTGACTTGACACTGATCTCAGTTCAGAGGTGAAGACGGGCCGTTAAGCTGTGTATAGTGGAAGGGATAAATCTAGCTTTGGACTGTGTGTGTGTGTGTGTGTGTGTGCGCGTTTTTGTGTGTGTCTGTGTGTGTGCATTTGTGTGTGTGTGTGTGTGTGTGTGTATATGTGTGTGTGTGTGTGTGTGTGTGTGTGTGTGTGTGTGTGTGTGTGTGTGTGTCAGGCAGGCTTACCCAGATTTACACAAGACAGAGACAGTGTTTTTCTGTGACTATAATCCCTGGCACTGACTTTCATGCACACACACACACTAACTCATACACACATTAATCTAAAAGCTGATTTAAGAAAGCAGAATGCCAATATGCTGCTGTGGCTGAAACACAGAGGCACTCTGGGGGCATACGGGATGTTACATGCAACCAATCAGGAAGAAAGCTGTGAAGACGCCCCATACGCCTTACATTTACACCCGCTCGCCATGGGCTGAATTGACAAAAACATACTTCACACTCTCTTATCATGAGAGAAAAAAAGAGGCTTTACATACAAAAACTGGAGGAGTACTTAATTAAGACTGCTTTCTTGTTGATTTTAATGCCACTATAATAAATCTTTTTCATGTGAATCAGGCACAAAAATCGGACTGAAAAGTAGTAAGAAGTGTCTTGTCTCCAGATGGTTTTAGTCCTCTCAGGGAGAGCTGTGTGAAGCAGCAGGAGCAGAGGTGACACAGTGACATACTGTATCGTCAGGGATATTATGATTAATTACTATGGGCTTTGTTTCACCAGCCTAATTGCATAAGCACAGAGATAAGGGGCTTTGGCATTACAAAGCAGCTTACACAACACAAACGGTTTCTTGTTCCTGTGTGTGTGTGGAACACAGAAAGCGCATTATACCCCACATTTGTATTCCTACTTTGAGTGTCTGTGTCTATAGGAGGGTGTTTGCAACTATGGTGGTATTTCTACACCTCTCCATCCACATCCCCATCTCTCCACCACTGATCCTTTAAAGTGTGGGTTTAGCCCCGGCTAATCTGGTGAAATTGGTAATCTACCGAGCAAACGTTAATAGAATTACACTGTGCTGTAGCCCACATGAAAAATCTGTGGCGGAGATAAGGGAGAGGGTAGGACACCTGCAGCGCCGGACCCACTCAATACCTTCTAGACACATTCAATTGATCCAGGCCCCCAGAGTGCATCCGAACACAAAGAGAACTGCGGCTTTGATCTGAGATCCACAGGAGGAAAAGAAAGAAGTGTGCAAGAGGACGGATGAATAGGTGGAGAGGGAGGGAACAAATCCACGGGTGGTTTAGGGTTCCTATGACTGCAGAGATGTTAAAAATGTTTTATCTGCTCAAACAACTATTGTGCTCTGGCTTTTACATCAGTTTAATGCCAAAATGTTGAGGTGAAGTTAGGTGACAGCACAATTATGCACAAATTATTCATTGCACCTCACTTCTACATATAAACACAGACAGACAAGCTTCCTCCCAACCAGGCTCCTCCTGATAGTGTAAAATGCTCTGTTTCTCTCTGTGTTATGGCTCTGTGGTCTTTCTGCAGATTGTTTGTCATTTCAGGCAAGAAAAATGACAGAGGAGGAGAGGAGGGGAGCGGCACAGAGAGGGTGAGGGAGGTGTATTTTCCTCCCTTGGTTATTTTTAGGCTTGATTCTGGCCAGGGCTGGAACAGTGTGTACTGAACCCCACTGTGGAGAAGTGAGGGAAGACATTTCCTCTACACCTGGCCAATGGACACTATAAATAAACAGGCAGCACTGATACATGTGCAAACACACATATCTCAGGTGCATGTGAGGGAATAGTGAAAGATGAGTGAAAAGCTTGTGGGTGTGTGAGTGCTGAATGAGAGTGGTGGAACAAACTGAAAGAAGAACCAGAGAGAACCAATAGAAGCATGGCATCCTACATACAGTAGAGAGCAGTACTCCTGCTTGTGTCAAGT